GAGGACTGAAGACTGTAGGATTAACCATGGAGTGTATTCAACAGATGACTCTCTTTCTGGACACAAGTGAGGAGAGGGAGGAAAACTGCTTGGATGTAAAATTTTGGGAGGAAAAGTTACGCCCCTCTCCCCAACTACCAAGTTGGCAAATGAATCTATTTCCCTGATGTATTAACCTCTGTGGCCAAAACATTGAACTCTGATTGAGAATGGATGGTATGCTTATCTGTTGAGAGTGGATGGTACACCTGTCTATTGACAATGAACCATTTCTACTAGGGAAATCTGCTTCAAGATCATAAACATACACGGTGTGTACTCTGACTTCTGTGCTGACTGAAGCTCATACTCTCCTGGTATGCTGCCAGGAAGGAGGCCACCTTGCTTGATTCTTTGGGCAAAAGAATCGCTGACCAACCGAGTGATTCGGTTATTGTGGGGATGTATGAGCCAACAGTCTTGAACTGCCAAAGCCATGAAAGTGTGTCAAGTGTTTAGAAAGGAAAAAAATGATTGTGTCACTCAAGCCACATCCGCACCTTGCGCCACTGCTACTTGTCCTTAGGGAATGCCCGTACCATGTACACTTTGGTGCATGGCAATTTACCCCAGGGGCAGTACAGGAAGCTGGGACAGCAGCCTTACCTGAGGTCCTGGGGCCTCCCTGGGCTGCAGCAATGGCGATTCTGCCACCTGGAGCCTGGCTGGTAGCTTCAGCGCAGCTCTGGGTGGCCCTGCTCCATTTTTGAGTGGCGTGGGCTGCCCATGTGTGGGCTGCTCTGTGTTCTTTTGTCTGCGGTGGGTTTTTGTTGTTTTGTTTTTTTTTTGACCCCTGGATCTACAGGGGTCAAAAAAACCTTCAGGGAAAAAGGCAGAGCACCGCACACATGGGCAGTGCTCCCTTGCAGCGCAGAGAACACCTGAATGCAATATTTGGCACCGCAGATGTGCTTGCGGTGCCCCATACTGCATGGCTGTGCTTGTTTGGACGCAGCCTCAGCGTGTATTTTTTTCACTTTTTAATTCAGTGGTTGGGTTTGTCTTCTCTCAGAGGCACAGATAGAGCATAGCACAGAGAATTCATGCTCAGGTTTCCTTCTGGAGTGGTGATTCTCAGCTGGGGATACTGGTATTCTGGTTTGCCTTGAGATCATGTCAAGGGTGACTTAGGGTGCCAAGCACTCTTCGCAGTTAGGTGTGCAAACGTGATTCACAAGATGAACCCAAGGATCTCAAATAGGAATCCATAATGTTAAAAGCATCGTAACCTGTTGTAGTCTGTCTGAGTTCTTTGCAACAGAAGAATTGTTCTGTTAATTTTTCCATAGTTAAGAAATGAATCGGAAATGCCAGCTCTTAGTTTTCAGAGAGGTCTTGTCAAATGAGGTTGAGAACCACAGTCCTAAAGATACAAATTTAATGCCTTGGTTTAAAAAGAAAAAAAAAAAGCAGTGAAGTCGATGCTCATTGTGGACAAAGCAATTACCTGACCACAGACAATGCGGAGGAAACCAAAAATTAGCTTTCAAAAAAAACAGTATTTCCTCTTAGCTCCTGGTTAACTGGATGAGAGGGCTGGGAGTGATCCTAACACATACCTGGTCTCAGTTTCATGGGATTGACTTGGCTTTTAGAGTGAACAAGAGACTCGCAAATGAGCGTGTAGTGTTTACAGCATGTATTGATACGCGTGGCTGTGCTGTGAACCTTGACCACGTGCAGTGGTGGTAGCAATGGGAGGGTTTGCTGCTAATGATATTTATGGAATGAAAATGTATTTCATTCAAATTTTGTTTTCCTTTCGGGAAAAATTAAATATGACTGTTTTCTAACTGCTTTCTCCTAATTTCTAGTTTCTCTTTGTACTGTAATAATCACCAGGCTTTATCAATACAGGCATCCAGTGAATGAAAAGAACAACGTGGAACCTGATTGTGGAGCAATAGAAAACCCTTGCAGGTCTTTCACCTCTCTAATGAACTAGTTAGCCGCATGAGGTTCCTGCCTCAGCAGCCTGGGACCAGGAACTAGGGGGAATGCATCAAAGGGCATTAGGGGGAATATCACCTCTGCTGCCAGTTCTGATTCCTTTTGCCTGTAGATATAGCTACAGCTTGTATACGAGGGCAAGTGAAACAAAGCCCACCTTTGACTCACTGTCTTGTGCCATAACAGCCAGCTCCACCCTCCTTGTGCCTACGCTGCCCCTTCTCTGTGCTCTCTGAGCTGGGCTCTGAGCAGCTGCTTCTGAGAAGTGGTCTATACAGCAGCACTCGTCTAGTTGGTTCCCGACAGGCCCATCCTCACACCTCTAACAACCACATTTTACACCACAACAACCACTTAGCCAAGAGAAAAAGGTCATTATCCCTATGAACTAGGAAACTAGCAGAAAGTGGGTAATAGCCTACTGGGAGGGAGGACGGGGAAGAGAGGGCAAAAGGCAGGGGCAGGGGAACAGCAGCTCTGCAGCATCAAGGCTAACATGGCAGGACCCATCCATTCCACCAACGTCCCCGTTGGGGACTTTGTAGCTGCTGATTCCATGCCAAATCTCACAGGGTGGGTTCGTGTCCTGCAGAAGCAGGAGAGTGCAGAGCAGGGGCGGCAGCCCCTGGCAGGCAGGCTACAGCACAGCACAGGAAGCCATTTTTCTCAGCTTGCCAGGGCCTGGCTGGGCTCTGGGCTGCTGCTGCCAGCCACCGGGGCTTGCGCTGCTCCCAGCAGGAAGCAGGGAGGGTGTGAGCAGCCTGAGCTCCAAGGCTGGCAGCAGCTGCCCAGAGCCTGGACCGGCTGCAGGGGCATTAGCAGCCTCAGGGGAGAGGGGGAGCTGCATTGTGGGGGGTTAAGGCAAATTTTGGAGGGGGTTACAGCCCTGCAAGCCTGCACACACCCACACGCACATGGCCAGGCTGCAGGACAGTCCTCCCTGATGATGACCTGGGCCACCGCAGCCCGTCCTTGCCTGGGAGCCTGCTCATGGGCTTCAGCACACCTCACTAAGGCCCTGCGGTGAAAGTTGCCTTAGACCACCCCGCCCCCACCCCTACCCAGGTGCCGGGGGGGGGTCCAGGCTTGGAGCGGAGTGGGCAGCAGTGGCCTGGGCGGTGCTGGATGGGGGGATTGGGAGGGGGGTTACTAAGGTGAATTTTGATGTGGCCACAGGCTGCCCGCCCCCCGCCACCCCCAAACAAGCTGCATGCAGGCACGGGCTGGTGTTGCCCCGAGGCATGTGAGGCTACCACCAGTGCAGGGATGCTGCTGCTGCGGGAGGGGCCAGGGCTGCACTACCTCAGGGCTCTGCCTGCTGTCCACCCAAGGGTGCGCACAGCCGCCAGTGCCACAAAGCTCAGCTGGAGCTCACTGTGGAGGGGTGGCGGGGGGGGGGGGGGGCCCCCCCCCCCAAAGAGCTGGCTGCTGGGCGGGCTCCAGGCCAGGGCCTTGGTGGGGTGTGCTGCAGCCCATGAGCAGGCTCCCAGGGAAGCACAGGGGCTGCAGTGGCTCAGGGCATCTTCAGGTCCAACTGTCCTGCAGCCTGGCTGTGCAGGTGCCTGGTTCTGTCCACTGTCTGGTTTGGCTGTGTGAGAGTATCTGGTCCTGTGTGCGTGCACGTACAGCTCTTCATCTGATTCTGTGTGTGCACGCATGTGTTTGGTTCGGGGGGGGGGGGGGCGTGTGTGTGCACGCTCACGTGCACCTAGTGCTCTGTCTACATGTGTGTCCTCGCTGCCCTCTCCTTTTTTTCTGTCTCTCTCTCTCGCGCATCACAACAGGCTTAGCAATGGAGGAATACACACCACCAAAGGTAATATATGAAGTTTTATTTATTGTCACCAGGTTTAGAGTTTTTTTGAAAATATTTATTTACTGTAAAAAAAGCAGCAGCAGCATTTATGATTATTAACTATATTAATAGGCAGCGTGTCCTGCCATATACCCCCAGCTCTGGTTTTGTTTTTTCTGGCATGCCATGACTCCAGCACCTTACAAGGTAGGCGGTGTGTTTTTTTTCAACACTGGCCAAAAATGTTGCCTAACTCCCGTGTAGAGGGAGGGGCTGGCCCTGGCTGTGTACAAGTTTCCCTCGCTTTATGCTGTACATGCGTTCCTGGAAAATGGTGCATAACTCAAATTTGCATAAAGGGAGTGCACTGTACCCACAGAGACCCTCACCATTTGCGGGGGATATAGTCTCAAGATCCCCATGAATGGTGAAATCCACAACTAAGGCACTGCGTTCATGAACGCCATGCCCCCCCCTCCCAGCGGCTGGAGGGAGACCATGGCTGTGCAGCTGTGGCAGTGGTGGGAGCCTGGTAGCAGGAGCCTGCTGGCAGCAAGCACACAACTCCAGAGGAGCTCCTGTAAATATATAAAAGATGGGGGCTCATCATTTGCAAATGCTGAACCTGCGAATAGCGAGGGTTTCCGGTGCAACGTAACAAATAGGGATACATTCCAAGACATCAACTGTATTGACCCCCCAGACCCATTTCTACCACTTTTACAAGACAATTTTGGTACTCCCCGGGTGGTGGTGAATGTTACCATAATGGGATGGCAACTACAGAAACACGTGTCGCAGCTGACGTGCAAGGAGCACACAGGAGACTGTATTTTGGTGTGCGTCACTCCCACAATGCACCAGCGTGTGCAAAACAGCTGATTGTGGGCTTCTACCACACCGGTCGCGTAAGAGTGAATTTACCTTGCATGTAACAAATTTTGGGTATAAAAAGGGTCATTGTGTAAGAGTGAATTTGCACATACAGAACCCACATAAATCAAGGGAAAACCTGTGGCGTGCAAAGACTCGGGCCTGAGAAACAGCAGCAAGAGAGCAGAGATCCTAACAGGAGAGGGCAGAAGTTGGAGGATTATTGCCCTGGTGTCTTGTGATGGAGCTGTCTGACAGAGCCTTGAGGGTCTGAAGCACCTTCCTCCCCACCCACCCCACCCCCCCATCTTCCTTAGGACCCCTGCCAGGGGCCTGCATTTCTCTAACCCTCTCCCTGACATGGTCATCCCATGCACCTGGCAGTGATGATGCCAGGAATGGATCTGGGGGGGGGGCAGAATGTCCCCTGTGAGCACCAGAGCAGCTACATACCTGAGGACCTAGGCTAATCCCCATCAGCAGCGCAGGTGGCAGAAGTAAGTACCTGCAGCCCTATGCTTGGAGACATGAAAACAAGGTGGAGCACAGAGTAGCAGGAGGTGGCAGAAGGGGGCCAGAGTTGGGCAGGGTATAGGGAGGGGTTGTGGTCAAGTAGGGAGTGAAGACAGGGCTGCTGTTAAAAACCTTTTATTGAACAAACAGTGCAAGGGAGCTCAGTGTTAAAAAGTTCCAACAAAATGGAAAAAAAGCAAGTAGTAGAGTTCTGGATATGTACCATAGCAGCCACTTGCAGCAGCAGTGTGTGCAGGGGTGTGTTTCTGGTGGGAAGCAAGCAGCAGTGCAATGTGGGCTGTCTGGAGGGCTGATCAGACCAGTGTCACAGGATGCTTGGTGTCTACCCAAAACAGTGAACAGGTTTCCAAGTCATACTTGATTTTCCAGGTCTTTGAACCATTCCAGGCAGAGTTGAACTGATTTAACAGGTTTGTAAGGCCGTGCACATCTGGTTTAAACCATGTTTAACCATTCCAGGTGTTATCTGTGCCTGACCCATCATTCTGGCTGCTGTGGGGGTGAGGAGCACTATACCCTAGCGAAATAAGCACTGTGCTCACACGGAGGAAATCCTGTCTTTTGGCCTTTCTTCCAATGAGGTCTCTTCATTTTGCATTAAATAGTCACCAAATAAAACAAATATACTGGCAAGGGCCAGGACCACAGATGGGGATTTAAAAAACCTCGCTGACTGCCTGACAGCACACTGGCTGCAAGGCCACAGGTTAGGCACTTCCAGGCACTTCTCCAGCACCCCTGTCACATTATAGTCACTTGGAACAACTCATTGGCCCCACCCTTCTGTGGTCAAGGGAAAGATCTAAGCCATGTCAGGTCAAAGGCAATGGAGCAAGTTCCCGATTTCTATCTACTTTTGAAGTGGAAGTCTCCCACTAGTTATAGCCAGCACAAAGATAGGTAGAGTCTCTTTAAAATAAGAACGGAGCAACCAAAAAAGAAAGACACAATGAAGCCAGACTGTTGCTTTAAAACTTATTAAACAGTCCAAGCAAGCTACAGTTTATATGGCATTCAGATCACTGAGTCCTGCTTCTCCAAGTCACACCAGGCAGAAAATGTTTATAAACTCTTCTATTCCCCCTAACTGAGGAAAGATGTATTATGTTTTTATGCACCTAAGCAAGTGGCATAAAGACTGCATTAAAAGAGGATCTCCATAACTTTCTGTGATGGCTGTGGGGTAAAAAGCTCATCCCTGCACTGTTTCACATTACAGGGGCACAGACAGATGTAAGAACTGTATCAATGCCACACGATAATAGCATAAGCTGCTGTGATGCAACAATTATATCTTTATGATTCTGTGGTGATGCAAGTGTAGCAAAACCGCTGCAGCTTTAACCCTGCTTCCTTCAGGGTCAAATTTGGGCCAATTTAATTCACTTGCATCAATAAAGGATCATACAGATGTGAGAGCTGTACCAGCTGATGCACACTCCTGAACAGTACCTTTCCCTCCCCTTTTAAAGCAACTAGGCAGTATATTTGCCAATGCCCTCAGGGGGCATCTCTCAACCTTCCAGGGTGGTGACCTATTCTTCAATGATCAAAAATTTCCATGACTGCCTCGGTACAAGCATTACAGTTCAAACTGGTGTATCTCTGCCATCTGTGACTTCCACAATCTGAAAGGGGAAACCGTGTGAAGAGCACCAATGCAGAATTTCCTGTTTTACACTACAGGAAAATATTCAAAGCTTCACAACCCCTTTTACTGCCTGGAGTTGCCCCACCTGGGGATGAAAATCCCCCAAGTGAGAAACATTAAGAGATTTCACATCTGCTTAGTGAACTCTGAAAACCTTTCTTAAGACCCACGATTCAGAAGGAGCATTTTCATTATGCAGTTAAGAGATTTCTTTCTTCAAGGCAATACTTCCATGTACCCCCTAGAGGAGCACCATGCTTTTGTGCTAGAGATACCACTTTACAAATAAAAGTTTGCATGTCTGGGATGCAAATCTCCACTATTTTAGGGATGGGCAACCTCATGAGTTAGTGACTTAACCCTTCACTGTCCATGGGAAAGGCAGAAAAGCAGAACCTCTTGACTGCCTCCTATTTGAGCCACAAGGCAATTCTTTCCTCTCATGAGAAAGCGCTGCGGATTGCATCCACTCTTTTGGGAAACATTTACGGAAATGAATCGAGCTTTGTGCAGAGCAGATATTTCATTGTAGTCCCTATGTACACCCTGGTTTATTGCTTTCACTTGCATAGTATATTTGGGAGGCTCCATTGGTCATGATTCCATTGCTGCTTCTGAACTTTTGCTGCTACTGCTGGCAAGGGAGCTGCTAGCTGCAGAGCTGGCACTGGCAACTACGAGCCTCTCTCTGTTTCCAAACGCTTCATTCACTGCAACGTAAACGGGAGATTACATAAATGCCTCACGCAGAAAAGGGCAGGATTTTCTTTAACAAAAGACAGGAATCTAAAACTTAATTAAGCAGTCTTGAGAGCTTTCCCCCTCCCCCAGCCACAGGGTCCCAAGTCTTACATTACAAGACAAACTACATCTTTGCTAATTAATTACATTAAGAGGGAGGCATGCTTTTTCTTCCCGCACAGGACCGCTCGCTGCCATTTTGTAGTTATGCTGCATGTGGTCTGTGATTCCTCAAGATCATCTTCAGGTCAAGCAAAGTGGAGTGATACCAATTCGAAGTGCATGAATGCAATCTATTCATGCTTGATGATCTATTGACTTTTTGCAGACCAACACATTACATTTAGAATTTTGGTTTTAGTCCAATTTAAAATGTCATTTGCTTTCCAAAAGCAGCTAGAGACAATCCTCAAAATTGCTACTGTTGGCTTACATACTAAAACAATGCAACTGGCCACGTGTCAGGTCCCACTGCTACCCCCACCAAGTGGCAGTCAAGGATTTCATGTTAAAGGTGTGTGCTGCCAGACAAAACATGCCAATAACCACAAAGATCTTCCATGTGCCATGCAGAACAGCATTTAAAAGTGGCATCCATGCACATCAGACACAATGCCTGAAGCCAAAGGAGAATACATTAATTTCTGCCAAATACAGGAAGTTTCAATTCAAGACTCCAATTTAAAAAAAATCTTATAGTTGGGAAATAGAGCCTAGTATTGTAAGGGCAACATTGTATTTCAGAGCACAAGATCAAGGTACCCACTACACTGGGGCTACAATTCCACAGGGCCATAACTGGTCTATGTGCCTGGCATGCTGTGAGCAGCAGAACCAGGTGCTGGCCACACTTCATTTCACGCTCTCCCACCCTTATTTATTTGTTGTATTAACAAAAATTAGCGACTCAGCAGAGGGTGCGGGAAGGAGGGGAAAAGGAAGCACGAAGCTTCAATCAAGAACGTTACCTGCTGAGATGCTGCTGATATCCCACACTCGTAGCCCTTCTCTCTCCCCTCCGAAAGCAAAGACAAATGGCAGATCTGGACAAGAAGCTGCACAAAAGAGGATGCCCTACAGAGAAGAGAAACGTACGCTTTGTTGGTAGGTCAGGCCCCTGCTATGCACTACATTATGCAATTAACTTATCAATAGCAATAAAATTAGACTGGCCACACGTGCAAAGTGAGACCAGCCACAAGTGCAAAGTAATTATTACGTGATAAAAATGAATCTCTAGCTATAAAAAACAGCCAACTAGCTATGAAGTTAGTGCTTGAAAAAATGTAACAACTCTACAGCTGGCTTTTAATTTGAATGTGTAGCTGGGCCATCAGTATCATCTTAGACACCTCCTCTGACCAAGCAGAACAAACTTGAAAATCCTCTGAAATTTCCTTAAATGATTTTCTACAGAAAACTGAAACAGCAGGATGTGCTCATTAGAGAACTAAAACCATGAACCAGGCAGGGCATAGCCAAGAACTCCCTAGAGATCTGTATGCAACCCTGCCAATGCTCCGGTTCTGCTCCAAAACTCTGCAACCAAGGCACTGAAGCAAAACTTGCCCGTGATATGTCGTAATGTGTGGCCAGTGGTGATGCAAATGAACAGTACTCAGAGCAAGACCCTCAATTCAGAGTCATTTGTTGGGTTTTTTTAGGATATGAAGTGTTAATGAAAACAAAACAATGAAGCCTGGCTAATATCAGAAGTGAACCGTTAGACAAGGTTTATATATAACTCTCTTAGGATGTTACTTTACCATTTTCATATCCCTGGAATGGACCAGACTGGGTTTGTCTCCAAGTATATCCCAAATTTTCACGTATTTATCAGCAGATGATGTCACAAGGCACCCTTTGATCTGACTGCTTAACTGTAGCCCTGAAAGGTAAGATCAGGTCAGATTAATTCAAAAGCCTCAGAAAACTGGCATAGACCCATCTATACCGCATAACTTTTTACAGTGGAAGTCAAAAGAACGAACAACTCATGCTCTCCGCACACTTTATGCTGAAGTCAGTTCCAGTAAGAAGGCATAGGAACCTAATGGAAATCTTGTGACATTACCACCACCCAGTGGGAAGGGAATCCCAGGAGTGGGCCTATTTCTTTTCTGGCAGTAAGAGGTATCTTGCACAAAACAGTTATGGCCCAACTCCCTCAGTTCTGCTGCTAATGATATCCCCGACTGGCTTTCTTCTGTCATTTGCCAGACAGATTTCCTTCACTGTTCAAGACTACATGTCCATCACCGAGTCAACTCCAGAGCACATGTGCATTAAGAATCACTGATCCAGGCTGTGTTCCGGTGTTAATCTCGACTTGTCAGACTCTAGAGTTCACCCTCATTTTCCCCCACAAAACCACTTTACAGGAACTACCTTAACCAATGTGACCCAAACAAAAGGAACTGTTTTGACAGCCTTACAGTTTGTGCTAGTGAGAAAAGTGCACTGGTGTCAAAAATACACAGCCCTTGAGTTACTCATTTAACAAAAACAACATATTTAGATGACCAGCTACCACAATTACTACTCAAGATTCCTTCCTAAATGAGAAACCACAGCTTCTCTCAAATTCCTATCTATGTAGCCAATTATATGACAATTTTCTGACTGGATACTAACTTTTTTTTTTTTAAACGGAAAACAAAAAGACACACAACTTACCTGATATTTCTTCATTATGGGCCTTCAAAGTAAAAACTGGCTTATCAGCACGAGCATCTAAACAGTACACAAAGCCATCTTCCGTGCTAGCCTAGGGAAAACATGATTATCATGTAAAAAGGTAATACCACATGACTTCACCTGAAGCAAACAAGGTTTGGCACCTAAATCTAAAACCCATGCAATTTAGGATGTCTACATTTCCTATACACAGGATAAGTTAGGCCAGGCAGAGTTCTGTGCTATCACACCTGGACTGCTCCCAGTATCCAAGCTTGCCTGGGTATCTCTACACTACACTGCAAGCTGCAGTGCAGACACTATCAGGATACTGCACAACACATTTCTTAAATAATATCTGGAAGCAGCTTGCACTTAGGTAGCTGGCCTAGCTGAATTGCTGGGTGACTCAGACAGCAAATAATAAGATCCAGAGCTTTTTGTATCTCACCTGCCAGCTCAAATGCATACAAGTCCATTGTAACCGAAAGCTGTTGCCATCTAATGGCTGCTTAGTGGTCTATGCAAAATGAGTTGGTGGTTTTATAGGAGAGGCATCCACCTCACAAACCCAACAGACTTGATGTTAACAGGCACGTTTATTGGCACAGAAGCAAGAACTGAATACAACTGGAGACTAAAACTGTGTGTTTATTACATACTTTTAATGTTAAATGTGTATTTATTTAATATTTAATTGTTAACATTGTGTCATTGTGTCATTGTTCCATCAAAATGTCAAATTTACAGATATTTTTGACAAGCTCAACCACCTAGGAAGACAGTAACCTCTAGGGATTAAATATTAACATAAAACTACATTTTAACTGCACCTGACCTTTGAAACAAAGATCCCAAGTGTGCTGTGGATTGGGGAACACCATTTAGAAGTAGCAAAAGAAAGAGGCTGTAGCAAAACCTAGGAAGAGGGCTGTGCTAGAACTCAAAAGTTCTCGCTCCACCTCCTTGAAGGCTGCAAGGCAGGGCAGGGGAATCAGTTCAGGCAGAACAGGAAAGATCTTATCTCATCTTATGTTTTATGGCTACAGTTAAGCAGTCAAAGCACCAGGAGCTCTCATCTACCAGCAGGAGGCAAGGTGATCCTCACTCTGAGACGCCATGGAGAGCTGAGGACTGAAGAACAACTGTGGCAGTGGATGGAGTGGAGACGGGGCAGGGCACATGATTTTAGAAGGACTGAAGTATGAAGTGATGCAGGATGTTGAGCTGTATTATGGGAGGAGAAGTTGAGGGCCGCTGCACTGTCCAGGGGTTTTAACCACTCTGACGACAAACACAGCTGAACAAAGTGGACCTAGGAAGGACCCCACCCCAGTGTCTCTGCATTCAATCGAATGAGCAGTTTTGCTAGCACACTGGGCAAGTGTTTACTGTCAGACAAGTGTGGGACAACTCCTTGGAAGAGGGACTGCAAACACAGCACACAGTCTGAGCTGGAGGGAGTGCTCACTTCCAGCTCTATCACGCTACAAAAAGCAATTCTGACAAATAGCCTCAGTGACATCCCTGGATTAAGTTAAATGTAACACAATGTTCAGCATAGGAAACTGCATCACCATCACTGGGCACTAAGACACTGTGACTCTGAAAGAAGCCCAGGGTGAAACAATCACTGTAGACAAATTTGCTAGTGCTGTAGCTGCACCAGCATGAAAGAAGGTACCAAACTCCTGATTAAGGGTCAACTGACAACTATGTACAGTATATTTAAGACAGTGGTTCTTGACTCAAGGCACTTCTCAGAAAATGCCAGGTCTTAGCTTTCACATCTCTTTGCCTACAGAAACATGAGGGCAATTCTAATGCTGGAAAGAACTCAGAAAGACCACAACAGGTCATAATACTTTTGACACTCTGGATTCCTATTTGAACTCTTTGGGTTTTCTCTTTGAATTACCTGTAGGATTTTGCACACCTAACAGTGTCAATACCACATGGCACCCTGCAGCACCTTTAAAGGATCTCATGGCACCCTGGTTGAGCATCACTGACATAAGGTGTGGAATGCTGGGTGCCTGACTTTCCATTAATCCATTTAGTCAGATCGTGGACAGTCCATAGCAGTAGCTGAATACATGAACACAAGCATTCATTAATAGGTAAAGCGCAACGGTAGGAAATGGTGGAGGAATACACACACACACACACGGTTATACTCACTAAGAAATTGCAGGGTGAAAAGTGATTCCATGTTACTCTCTCAACCTGCCCGCTAAACCGCCAGATTCGATGGCTATCCTGTGGACTTCTGCAGTCGTACAAAACAGCAGATCTAGAGGAAAATCACACCAGAACACTTTGTGAAGCTTGCTTTATCATTCTTACCTACCAATGTTTTCACTCTGGTTTAAAATATAGTCATTCATGAATTATAATGGAAGCAACTTCAACAGACAGGAAATATTTAGATTTTATCATTCATTTTTGAAAAAGCAAATCAGATGAGGCCAAGATTGATACATGTGTGTTCAAAGTGTTTGTCTTGGGTTCCGGGAGCAATTCTGCCATTTGTTTTAATATGTTCACTATGCAATATACTTACCCCATAGGAAGCTACACACAATGCCTTAAAATACATGCCTTAAAATACAAACGTAACTAATTTCCTTTTGCAATAAAGAAACCAAATGAATGGAGGACACACACCAGTGTATATTCAAATTGGCTTTAAGTAAGGAATTAAGCATTAGAAGTGGAAATTTTGCTCTCAGAAGAAGCAAGAGCAGAAGGGAGTTAGTGGCTCTTGGGGGGATGCTGAAAATTCTAGTGCTCAGCCTGATGGGGTAGCAGCTCTTCAAGTGACAACAAGCGTGAAAAGCTGTTTACTGTTAATGAAAGAAAAATGCTGTTGCTTTAGAAACCTCTTCAACTCCATTAACACCAAAACTGGCCTACAACTGAAAGCAAAGAACATTGATCTGAATCCCTCACCTCTATCAACAATATCACAGAAGCACAATTCGAGCTACAGTGTAGCTCTCAAAAGGATGCTTCAACACTTTTCATGTCTCAGATATCCCACCCCACCCCCCCAAAAAATCCCTTTCAATTAAGTCTGGGTCCCAGCATACTTTGCAGAAGGCCACAATGGGAGCTCACAGCATTGCACAAGTGGTTGGAAGCAGAGAGAGAGAGAGAGACTGAGAACTGAAATGCAAAACTCATCCAACAAGCCATCTGAAACATTTGTCAGAGAACCAAAATAAAGCAAAAGAAAATATGCAATTAACTCTTGAAATAACTTTATAATGTATTAACACAGAAGCAAAGCCTTAAAAAACCAGAACAGAAATGGGACTGCAAATTGCAGTTGGAGAGTGAAATTAAGATGGCTATCACCATGAAAAAAAAAAAAAGGAGAACAGGAAGGACAGCCATGCAACTGCAATTGTTAGGAACAAAGCAAGCCAAAAGAATAGCCAAAGAAACCAGAAGTGTAAAAACAAGCAAACAGCATGACAGATTTTAATCAGACTCCATTACTTCCTGCATGTTGACTGTACATCAAAACTGGGACCTCTATATTCCTCTCTGAACATTTTCTATACCTGTGTGCATCTCTCTCTCAAAAGAAAATCTATGTTCAAATATGTTAAGGCAGCAAAGTCAAGCTCCCTAAGGCTAAGAAATATCAAGGAACATTCTCAGAATGTTTGGACCCTTAAAAAAAAAAAAAATCAGTCCATGACAGGAAATGGTATGGAAGAGCTCAGCCCAGATGACTGAAGTTTGACAAAAGTTATAAACTAAGGAAGACACAGAAGTATCAAGCAATTTTAATAACAGCTGGTGTCACCAGCCCTGCCTATATACAATGCGTGAAAAAACAAACATTTCCCCACTTACTTATCATAAGATCCAGAAATAAGGGTCTGTGTTTCAAATGGATGAAACTGCAAAGTCTGGACCTAAGAAGACAGCAAGAAGACTTTAACACCGATGCAGACTTCTCCAGTACATCTATACAATTGATACTGACAGGCTAACTGACAGCACTAATCCACACAACTCCCATTACACTTTTTGGTACCTCAGGAGCTTGTTGTAAAAACAAAATGCATGTTAAGAAATACTGACAAAGCATTTTTAAATTTTAGGTTCCTCCTAACTAGCATCAAGATGACTTCAGCAGAGGCAAAGCCAGTATGAATGCTTTCTAGAAAGCATGTCACATCCTCTTCACGTTAAGGATATTCAAAAATATTTGAAAGATAAAAAGGTATCTGCTTCCAGTATAACAAAAAAAGATGAATGAGTTATTTTAATATATATTTTCCTGTTACAAGAGAATTTTGCCAAAGGCAGGGACTGTGTTGACAGGCAGATGTTTGAGATTTAACAAGCTTTCACATTTTACTTACAAAGAGGTCTATACATCTCTGAGCTTTTGTTGGGAAGGGCAGCATAAGACAGACCAAAATAAGGCAGCCAGCCCACCATGATACCCAAGGGTTATTTAATAAAACTAACTTATGGTAGGTGAGTGCATGTTTCAGCTCTCACTTTCCCTTACAGGAGAGGCTCACAATCTGACCTAATCCGAGGATCTATTTTACCGTTGCTTACTGCAACACTTTTACATTTCCACTTTTTAAGACTGTCATGATGATTTTATGTAGCTATGAAAGGTTTGCTGACAGCTTGAAAACATCTACTAGTTATTCCCTCCAATTCTCGAAAGGATACGACAAGCAAGCCTTTTGACAAAGCCCATAGAGCTTTATACCTATAAAAGCAACTCATTCATAAAACTGAGTTTTTGTACATTTGGTTGCAAGCAAAGCAGCTTTGTAACATTAGAGCTCAATATTACCAATGTAATAAGATTTCAGCTTGTTTTCCCCCCACATTTTACAGCATAGGAAATACACCAATATACACATACCTTGTCTGTGTGCAATGCCAGGTTTGCCACTGGTTTACCCAGGGACATATCCCACAGAATGACAGTGCTGTCAGCAGATGCACTTGCCAAAACGTTTCTGGTAATAAATCAAAGGGAAAAACTTCAGGTTGCTTACGCATGCCTCAGGCCATAAAGACATATAGAGCCTGATTCTGGTTTCAAATGAGTCCTAGTCTAGAGTCTACAGCCTTCTTAGTATCTATTATTTAAGTTATATATACCCGTACAAAAAAGCTATTATTTGACTGACGTGTAGTGTACCGCAGATACAGTTTCATCTGTATTTTTTCCACATTCAGAAAAATATCCTGCAGTGGGTGATACAATTCTAATACTATAAAGCAAGGAAGTTTAAGAGCTAATTACTTTTCACACATTTTTAAAGGCAATATTTTCAAATATAGGCCAAACAATATAGATTTGTCTATCACTCATGCAGCAAACCTTTCTCTTCTTCTCTCTCCTTCCCCCAGCCCCATGTTTAGCAAATAGTCTGTGCAAAGGCTTGTCATGTTGGGCCTTTAACTTAAATAACTAATGGAGAGGCTGAAAAGGAAGCCTCTTGTTCAAGTCGATCATCCCACTGAAGTCAAAGGACCAACGAAAATTCTACAGTTAGACCATAGGATCAAAGCTCAGACATTAACTGTATATTAACTGCATATACAGAAATAAAAACTATAAATCAGACAAAACCAAACCACACTGCCAGGGAATTATAAAATGCACAAGGTCACAACTATTCCTCTGAAGGTGACAGATCTTGTACTTTAAGAGGGTTTGAAGCTTCCCTGATCCCTCCCTAATTAGAATGACATTTTTGAATGAATGGCAGATGATATTCATTAGCAAAATTATGTCCCAACCCATCCCATCCTCCTCCCCACCCCCACAAGCTGTCTGCAGAAGACAGAGTGCAGACTACAAGGGCATCCCAGAAATACTGCTGTTATGGCCCAGTGGTAGAAGTTTTCTATGAGGAACTGGCACAGTAGGTCTAAAGTTTTAAAATGCAATTTCAAATGTTATATGAAAGTTGCTTTTTGAGATCTTGAGTTGCACTCAGATTTCCTGATTCAGGACTGATTTTTCCTACAATCACATACTGGTATCACCAAAAAGTTATTACTTGGTGCACCATAAAACTACCAATGCCAGTCACATTATTCAGTTGTTTAATGATACAGAAAGGTCAGTTAGGACTGCTGCAAAGATAAACTACTTTAATCAACATAAAAGCTATTTTATGTGCTACTAATATCAGCAAGAATAGTAGCAGAAATGTTGCCTAAACTGGATGCGATTGACTGAACTACCAGATTCATAATATACATTCATCTTATTTATGTGACCCATTCTTTTTGCAATAGATAGCAACGGTCAATTAAAAGTCAATCATCCTTCATAGATTTGCTCCATTTCTTTAGGAGAAATTTTCTTTTCTCTAATGTCTGGATAACAGGGACTTTTCAGTTAAGATTGCTAATACTAATTGAAAAAGAAGTATGGCAAAACAACACAGGTGTATGTCTCTACTGGGTCTGACAGCAGAAAAAGATCACATTGTATCTAGTTAAAAAAATACTTGCAAGGTCTGTGCTGAGGACCCTAACCAGTTGCACTATTAAAAAAAAAATACTAACTTGGATAATAAAATAAATTCTTTGCTCAAGTTGCTACACTGGACCCAGTCCCAACCCTTGTGACTGACCTGCTCTGGGTAGCTCTGGCAGTGGGACATCCTAAAATGGACATAGCACACAATGGAAGATGCCCTCTGCTAAAATGAATCACAGGAGTTGGAAAAACTACTCTGTATCTACATATACTGGCTCCTTAACTGCCTCTTGCTGTTTTTGGCTCATGACACAGAGGCAACATGTGAAAGGAGAGAGGGCACATAGCCTAAGGAGTGGGGGACAGGACCAGGGCTTTCTTGCAGTCACCCTTGTCTGTCAGAGGGGTGCCTTAGGGCACTTACTGCAGCTGCCAAGTAAAATAGTCTTTGGGCCACTCTAGTTTATGCTGTGGAGCAAACTGCAGCAGGTGTATGAAGATGAGCCAAAGATAACAGTTCTGAAGTGTCAGAGCAAGTCAAGTCAGAGACTTGCCCAACCTGAAAGCAGGAGGTGTATTTTTGCGATTTGTATTTTTGAATACTTTTCCATTGTGCTCAACCTCAGCACTGTCCAGTTGAGCTTTGTGCAGTATGTGTCAAGATGCAGATGAATAAAGATTGCGGGGGGGGGGGGGGAGGG